GACAGAAATAAACAACCAGACAAATACAGCACTACCGAAGTCGTCTATAAAATACCTTGCACATGCGAACCCCCAAAAGTATACATCGGTGAAACAAAAAGAAAATTAGAAACAAGACTAAAAGAACACATCGCAGACCTGAAGTATAACAGAATCAACTCAGTTTTTTACGAACACTGCACGACCCACAACTGCAAAATAGATAAAAAGGATGCAACAATAGTACACAAAGAAAAAAATTGGTACAAAAGGAAATTCAAAGAAAGCTACGAAATTACTATAGACAAAAATAATATTAACAAGAACCTTAGCATCGACATCCATAAAAACTGGCTTCAATTATTAAAATAAAATAGAATGTTTATACAGTCGCAGGCGAGGCTGTGTACAACACTCGGAGAAGGGTAATGTTACAAATTACGAGGCATGCGGGGGAGTCCGTCAAGTCGGGAAAAAAGAGGGGAGGGAAAGGGAGCGGGAAGTACGGACACACAAGTCACAACTATCGACGTAACAGACTGAAGAGGGGCGAAAGCCCGAAACGCGTTTCTGTAAGAAGTAAATGTAGGTGATGGAATTATTTGCCAAGTGTCTATAAATGCACCAAGTCGTGACATAGAATCAGAAACTGAAAACTTTTGAAAAAGTTCTTTTGATTAGGTTTGAGTATCTTCAGCTTCAATACATTAACAAACAGCATGTAGAATATGACTTTCAGGCAAACAGAATTTGAATAACTTTTAAAATTAATTAAAATGGAACATGCATTCAATAGTGGTCCCAAGTTTCTTAGAACATAGTAAACACTTCAATCAAAAACCTTAAATTATTTTCCAGTAAAGTTTAATTTGAAAAGTTTTTCAACTATCACTTTTGATCTGCAATTGGAGATCTGAGGTCTTGATTCTATTGATTCTATATTCCAAATCCTGAATATAGAATCAATAGAATCAAGACCATTAGTCAAAAAAAACTTTTTCAAATTAAACTTTACTGGAAAATAATTTAAGGTTTTTGATTGAAGTGTTTACTATATTATTCCAGTCCAATAAGTGGTGTTTATTTCTTCTTAGAACATTACAATACATTTTATTTACTTATAAATTTATTATAAAATAAATAAGTAGGTTTTTCTTAATGATAAATATTGATACTTTTCAGATTTAATACAAAATTTAATAAATAAAAGGTCAACAAAAATTATTATTTTTGCAATAAAATTTATTATATAAAGAAATTGCTAATAAGTTTGAAGTGATTTAAAAAAATATCAGTACATTAATTTTGTAGTTAAAAAAAAACATAATGTTATTTTTGTATTTACGTTTTATATATTATAATTTTTTGTTGTGTTATTGACTACATTAACTTTACCTTAGTAACTACTATAAATTTTAATACTTTCATATATAATATTTTAATGAATATATACTAATAATCACACACTCAAGTTTTTAAATGTAATATAATTAAATTTTTGTACATTGCATAATAACTTGTGTATATTATTAATTAAGGACCATCCATTAATTATGTGCATAATTTTTGAATCACTTTTAACTCCCCTCTCTCTGTTGTGTACAATGATGTATAATTTTGTCAAGTTCTCTTCCTTTTCATTACATGTACTTGTACAATAGTTTATGTACAATATTTCTTTAACATTGAAGAAATGATTTAAAAACATTCTGCAAATATTTTCAAACTGACAGTTTATTCATGTAACTAGTAAGTAGGCTTATAAGAACAAATTTGTATGCCACTAGTATCACTGAAAAAGTTCACATAGACAATGCCTCTCTCCATCCCTCCATCTCTCCTCATATAAAATGATATACTTTTTTGACTCCTCTCTCCCTCTTAAACTATACATTCAATTAATGGATGGCTCCTAATTTATTAATTTTGTTGTTGAATTAAATATTATATAGTAATATAGTTGGAATATATTCAAAGAAATTATTTTGTGACAGTAAATATTGAATAATTAATTAATATTACATTCAAACATAAACCTAATTTAAAATGCTTTTATCTCCGAGAAAAGTAGTTTAAATTAATTATTTCATAATAAATTTCCAAATATTTTTGGCAGTTTTGTACTGTTGTTTTATATTTACTTACTCTTATGCAACAATATTAAGTTCATTTAAAATAAACATTTTATAGACTATTGTATTTTTAATTAAATTTGATTTGAAGAAAAACAGATCTGATATTCTAATTAAACTTAATTTTATTCTGAGTTTAATTAATATCAATATTTGCTGTTTTTTTATATTAAATAACAAAAATTAAAAGTTAAAAAATATATAAATAAAATTAAGAGTTTAATATTTTCTTTATTATTTACTCAACAGGTAGATTTTCATGTTTTTATTTTTTTAAATATAATTTTAACTAATCCATTTTATAATCTTGTGTTTATATATAAATAATTAACAATATTGTTCTATTTAAAATTTGTATATATATATTTTAACTGTTTCATTACATTCTTTTTTAAATGCTTTAAGCATGACATTTCTTTTAACTTTAAACTTTACTTGAATTTGCATTAATATTAATAAAGGAATTAACATAAGGTTTTTTTATTTTTATTAAATACAGATTTATACTATGTACAGTACATTTTTATAGTATTTATGAGAAAGTTGATACTCATTTACATATAAAACAATAAAATATAGAATTTCCGTACTACATACTGGTAATATATTTTGCCTTAAGAAAATGGATAATACACATAATAAGATTAAATAGTATGAATCAATAGAACATAAATATTAAAATATTTTTTTAAACTAAAATATAAAATATCAAAAGCGCTCAGCAACTAAATAATAAGAAACAAAACACCTTTTTTGCCGAGAAATAAATGGTTCTTCAGGTCGAAAAAATGGAACGTAAATTTACGTTCCATTTTTTCGACCTGAAGATGGCCTATTAACTAGGCTGAAAATGTTTGTTTTTTCAAATTATATTTATTTCTCGGCAAAAAAGGTGTTTTGTTTCTTAATAAAATATAAAATATATATACATGAAAACATACAATATGTTTTCTAAAAATTTTAATAATCAAAAAGATTTAATTGTTTTTAGTGTATTGCCCACCGTTCCCGAATGACTAGTCCAACAACCTTGGCATCTACTGCCTTCACATCTAATCTTCCTCCAGTACGGTCAGTACGTCAAATGCCACTTCCATTAATGGCATCAGTAAGTGATGATCCAATTTCTCTTTGGCTTAAATTGGGTGCCTTAGAAAAATTAGAACAAGTTGTTCTTGATGGATATGGTGATCAATTATATGGAAAAACATCCAGAATACCTCAAGTTAATAAATTTTTAAGACAGATACCGGTGTTTCAGGTAAGAATTTTTTAATGATTTCATGAGATTTGTAAAGATAATTTAAACAAAAAACTACAGAAATTAAAAGTTATTTTTTTGTAAGCATGAGGAAAAATCTAATATCCATTATGTTTAGAAGATTTTATTTTTTTACTAATAGTTGGATTTTTCAATAGCATAGATTATTTTTACAAACAAAGCATAGATTATGTTATTGTTAAAGTTTTTCATGAACTCATTTTGACATTATTCATTGTAAAGTTTCTTACAATGCATTGTTAAAGGAGATGAATCATGGTTCACCATAACCTGTATGTATCATAAAACAAATGCTGATTGATGATGAAATTTAGGCAAAAATGGTAAAAGTTTACTTCAACTGGAAAATTCTTTACTACTTATTAGAAAAATACTATCATCATATTCCAGGAATCATAAAAGAGTAATTCTAGAACATTTATATGGGAAAGGAGAACTAAAGAATAAGAAATAGAGATGGATTTCTAAAACATTTGAAATCAACAATTCTAAAAATATATTATGAATTTTTGTTTTTAGGTTTATATCTGTAGTTTAATAATTGTCCTCTCATTATTTGCTGTACAGTTTGATGAAGGAATTATTACTTTCAAGGGATCACTTTTTACCAGCCAGCTCAAGTGGCTACCACATTAAGTGCTAAAAACTATACTAGGAAGATATTATTCTATTAATCAATGAAATGATGTTATACTTAAATACAACTATATCACTAAAAGATGTTGAAAATAATGGATACTTCAAAATTAACAAAACTCTCCCATTTTTAAATATAATTGTTGTAAAATTCTACTTGATCAGTTAATTTGAAAGTATCTATTTGTAATGTTACATTCTGAGAATCAAATGTAATCTGTCCTTTAATAACTGAGGATGGTTTACGAAAGGCTGAAAATCTAAATTATTAAATGGGGTTTTTAATAAGCATACATGCTGACTTAGTGTATACTATATTGAAAATTACTGTGAGAATTTATTCTTATTTAAGAAAAGTCTTTTAAGATTAAGAATGAATCAAACTGTCTTAAGTTATTTACTTGAAAAGTTTTTAATTACAAATGAGTACTTGAACTTTCAACGTTTCAAAATGTCATCTTTAGGCTGAGCATATAACATTCAAATTACAATTTTTAAAAATGTACGTTAATTTCAAATGTATGGTTTAATAAATCTTAGCACACAGTTTTTACAGAAAATCAAACAGATGAGACATAAATGTTTTAATTTTAACTTGTTAATATATTTTAACATATCTAAGAATCTTTTGTTTAACATTTTGAAATTTTCATTTGAGTAATTTTAACAGTTGGTTTATATATACAATATGAATGGTAATATGAATTTATCAATAATTATAACAATTTTAGAGAAAGAAAAGGGAAATAAAATTTAAATATTTATGAAGATAATATTCTGAAATCAAGATATCAAATAATTAGAGATAAGTGACATATATATATAAATGTGTCTAATACAATTGGTTGTAAAGATTTGTAAATCATCAGAGTGTACTCATATACATTCTAGTTTTTGAAATCTAAGTAATCAATTCTGTATTTCTAATGGCTGCAATTTGAAAAAATTGTAGACCTATAAATTTCCAGTCATTTGTCTGTCTGTTTGTCCATCTGTATGTCTTTCTTTAATCTTCAAAATGATGTTAGATAAATGAAATTCAAGACCAGATATGGAAAGTTTAGGGGCAGGAGGCCCCAATTAACTATATATGAACCAACGCAAACTGGAAGTCACATTATTTCAATTTAAAAATTTCCCCCAAAAAGAAGTTGGATAGATGACTGGCACAACTCTATTGTTGAAGGAAAAATATGATGTGTAGTGGCAAGCCACTAGTAATTTGAGGTGGAGAGCATATATTTTAAATTAAATAAATTAAAAATATGATTAAAAATTGCAGCCCGGCATTATGACAATGTCACAAAAAATAATTTCTTGTTAGTATGGCAAAATTTGTTTATTTAGTCTATAGATAACAAAATTGTTTTTTTCTTAATTTTATTTATTTATATCAATCAAGTGTAAAATAAAATTTGAATTAGAAAGAGCTAACCTAAGAGTTTTGAGTACTGTAATAAAGAGCAACTTTTATTCCATTTGGCTACTTTCTCCCCAAAATTCCTGTCTTTTCATTTATTTGAATGAAAGTTGTGACTTTAACCACTTTAATGTAAAAGATGTAAATTGTTCTTTCAAATATTATGGAAAGGAATATCATTTTATATCAATTTTATAAGTTATCCAGATAATTTCTCCTGATCATAAGTATATTCATACTAGCAGATGAGCCCAGTGTTGCTCGAACAAAAAGTAATGGTAGCAAAGATTAAGATTATTAGATTATAGCTGATCTTATCCATTTTCACAGAGCGCAAGAATTAGGTCCCCCCTCTTCTGAGACTAATTAGAAAATTTTTAGATATCTGTTTACCACACCATGGTAACGATAATTAAGACTCACTGCAACCACTAACCAGTACATAGTACTACTAAGTGATGAATAATAAACGTTTTTGTAACTCTTTCTGGGTTCTTCTTTGGGTTTACTAAATTTGGAAAATAAACTAGATCTTCTGGAATCATTCATAAATATAAATTTGAACGTAAAATCGAACATTAAGACTGAGTTTGAATAAAGCGAACTTATGTACATGCACTACCTGTGTCAACTTTATATACGATGGAACTCTAAATATTGTTGAGAATTTTTAGAAGGATCTAAAAATATGTTTGATTTCCTGCATAAATGCAAGAAAGACATCTAAAATAGTATAGTAGAAGCTGAGTTCTTCACGGTAAGCCTTAATCCTGTCCCTCTCCCCACAGGGGGAATTTTGAAAAATTCCTTTTTAGTATACAGTATATTCTCATGACATATTGTAACTGTGTTCCAAATTTCAACTTTCAACTCCTAACTGTTTGAGCTCTGCACTTATTATTATCATTATTACTGTATCATTATCAACCCATCTCGATTATAAGATTCAGATTATAAGAATTTGTTACAAGTGTCAAATATTTTATTAAAATAGTTGTAAAGTAACTTTTTAATTAACATATTAAATAAATTATTACTCTACAGTAAATATTAATTAGAATAACGTTCTATAAAAAAGACAAATATCAGTAACCTCTTAACATTTTGAATTTAAAGTAGTAATTTGAAATTTGAATCCAAACATTTAGAAAAGCTAAGCATTTCTTGTTATCAGTTTGCTTTTTAATAGTTTATGTAATGTAGTAGTATCCACATTAATAGCTATTTAGAATCAGTATCAGACTGACAAACAGGCAAATAATCTATAATTAGCACCTGACACTGCTAGGCACAATCGGGAATGTTGTACATAAGGTACATTGCAGATAAATACAGATATATAAATAGATACATAAACACAAAAGAATGTAAAATAAAATTAAGAATAAAGATAATGTAAGTAATAAGGCAAAAAATCATGTATTTACAAATTGAGGAGGATGCTGGCTTGCATCAAACAGTAATTATAATACATGTTATGTAAGATAACTACTTCCAACAATTTAACACTTTGTGGATCGTTACATGTTATGTAATGGTGGCAGTACAAGCATAAAACATTTAGATAATAGTTGTTCTCACAAAGTAGCAATCAATTATGTTTTAAGAAGATGAAAGTTCTTTCTTTCAGAAACTAAAAGTTCCAGGTTGCAAGCCAATCTGCCTAACTTTCAAGAGTCAGATGATGAAGGGAATGCTGAGCATCCTCAAGCATGGGACAGTCCGTAAGATAATGGTACACCTCATCATGTGTACCACAGATAGGACAACAATCTGAGTCACTATGATGAAACCTGTGCAGATATGCATTAAAACGTCCATGCTCAGTAAGTTACATACTGTGTAAGGCAATGATGGGGGTGAATCCACTTTCACTTAAGTCAACTGTCAATATTAGGAAAGAGTTGCCTTATGATATGGGTCTCTGGCAGAGAGTTCCAGTCTCTTTGCCAGCACTCAATCATGAAAATCAGTTTTTAAAGTTGTTATTACAGTAGAACCTCGATTATCCACCCCCCCCGATCAACCGACCGTCCTAGTCGGCAAATTTCAAATGTCCGCTAGTGATGTGGCGCTACAATATTTGGCTATGTCTTGGCTACTTTGATATTATTTTTACGTGTTTTAGCTGGCAACACTCATTCGACCATGAAAGGGATCCAGTATTTAAACGAAGCTTAATTTTCTAATTTTTAACGATACAATAGCGACGATTATTATTTTAAAAAATTTTTGTTAGGCTTAACATCGATGAAAATTCAAC